GCTCATTTAACTCAGTCTAGCCAGCAGCCAATAACTGATGACCTTTAAACTTACTAGCCACTCCCTAGCAACCACTTTTGGCACCCTAGCAACTGTCCCATAGACTTCCATTGTAAAAGACTGCCATTGACTTAACATTGAGTCAACCTTTGTGAGCTCATAACTCTGCATCAGACTGTCCTACAGACTAGAGTCAGGCCTCATTCAACTCAGTCTTGTCAGCAGCCAATCACTGATGACCTTTAGACTTACTAGCCACTCCCTAGCAACCACTTATGGCACCCTAGCAACTGTCCCGTAGACTTCCATTCGAAAGACTCTCATTGACTTAACATGGGATCAAACTTTGTGAGCTCATAACTCTGCATCAGACTGTCATAGAGACTAATGGCTGAGCTCAATTAACTCAGTCTAGCCAGCAGCCAATCACTGATGGCCTTTTAACTTTCTAGCCACACCCCTAACTACCACATACTGCACCCTAGCAACTGTCCCGTAGACTTCCATTACAAAAGACTCTCATTGACTTAACATGGGATCAAACTTTGTGACCTCATAACTCTGCATCAGACTGTCATACAGACTAATGGCTGAGCTCATTTAACTCAGTCTAGCCAGCAGCCAATCACTGATGGCCTTTTAACTTTCTAGCCACACCCCTAACTACCACATACTGCACCCTAGCAACTGTCCTATAGAATGTAATTAGCTGTGCTATCAAATGCTTACATGCATATCTTTGCATAGCAGTGTCCTATTGACTTGGGGGATGGCTCATCTGACTCAGACAACCAATGAGCATCTCAATATGATAATAAAGCTCACAAGCCACGCCCCCAAATTGATTCCATAGACTTCCATTAAAATAGGCCAAGATGCATATCTTTGCATAGCAGTGTCATAGAGACACGGGGGTTGGTTCATTAGACTAAGACAACCAACCACATTCAAGTTAACTCTGTAACCTCGCCCATAGCAACAAAACAGAGTACCCTAGCAACCATTCATCAACAGCTATATCTCAGCATCAGAACATCGTAGAGACTTGGAGATTGGCTCGTTTGACTCATGCTAGCAAACGAAACTTCCTATATGCTACACATGCTAGCAGTGACTAGCTACATGCTAATATTGACTAGCCAAGTACTGTAACTTGCTAGAAATGCTTACTAAGTATAAATGTTTTATCAAGCATGTATGTGAGGCTTGCCTAGTAACCAACCAGGGTACCCTAGCAACTGCCTAGCAACCACCCAAATTACCCTAGCAACCGCCTAGCAACCACCTAGCAACGGCCTAGTAATGCCTTAGTAAGGGCCTAGCGACCACTCAGGACACCCTAGCAACCGCTTAGCAACCACTCAGAATACCTTAGCAACCACCTAGCAACACCTTAGCAACCACCTAGCAACCACTTGGGACACCTTAGCAACCGCCTAGCAACACCTTAGCAACCACCTAGCAACCACTCAGAACACCCTAGCAACTGCCTAGCAACGCCTTAGCAACCACCTAGCAACCACTCAGGACACCCTAGCAACCACCTAGCAACACCTTAGCAACCACCTAGCAACCACTCAGGACACCCCAGCAACCACCTAGCAACGCCTTAGCAACCACTCAGAACACCCTAGCAACCATCTAGCAACCACTTAGGACACCTTAGCAACCACCTAGCAACACCTTAGCAACCACTCAGAACACCCTAGCAACCGCCTAGCAACACCTTAGCAACCACCTAGCAACCACTTAGGACACCCTAGCAACCGCCTAGCAACACCTTAGCAACCACCTAGCAACACCTTAGCAACCACCTAGCAACCACTCAGGACACCTTAGCAACCACCTAGCAACACCTTAGCAACCACCTAGCAACCACTCAGAACACCCTAGCAACCGCCTAGCAACACCTTAGCAACCACCTAGCGACCACTCAGGACACCTTAGCAACCACCTAGCAACACCTTAGCAACCACCTAGCAACCACTCAGAACACCCTAGCAACCGCCTAGCAACACCCTAGCAACCACCTAGCAACGCCTTAGCAACCACTCAGAATACCCTAGCAACCACCTAGCAACCACTTAGGACACCTTAGCAACCACCTAGCAACACCTTAGCAACCACTCAGAACACCCTAGCAACCGCCTAGCAACACCTTAGCAACCACCTAGCAACCACTCAGAATACCCTAGCGACCACCTTGCAACACCTTAGTAACCACTTAGCAACTAGTCAGAACACCTTAGCAACTGCCTAGCACCACCTTAGCAACCACCTAGCAACCCCTCAAAACACCCTAGCAACCGTCTAGCAACACCCTAGCAACCACCAAGCAAATAGTCAGACCACCTTAGCAACTGCCTTGCACCACCTTAGCAACCACCTAGCAGCCACTTAAAACACCCTAGCAACCGCCTAGTAAAATGCTAATTCATGCTAGAATCATGCTAACAACATGCTAATTCATGCTAGAATCATGCTAGTAACATGCTAATTTATGCTAGATGTATGCAAACAACATGCTAATTCATGCTAGAATCATGCTAGTAACATGCTAATTCATGCTAGAATCATGCTAACAACATGCTAATTCATGTAAGAATCATGATACTAACATGCTAATTCATGCTAGAATTATCCTAGTAGCATGCTAATTCATGCTAGAATCATGCTAGTAACATGCTAATTCATGCTAGAATCACGCTTACAACATGCTAATTCATGCTAGAATCATGCTAATAACATGCTAATTCATGCTAGAATCATGCTAACAACATGCTAATTCATGTAAGAATCATGCTACTAACATGCTAATTCATGCTAGTAATATGTTAACTCAAGCTAAAATCATACTAACATTCTATTTACACTTTAAAACCACTTCAAACTTTCAGATTCGGCTTTTCAAGCCACCATAAAGTTTGTCCTCAAACTTTAATATCTAGTTTAGTTAGATGTTTATTTTGAAACTGCTTGGATTCAGGGAATGTTTTATAAGAATGAAAACTGATGATTTTTAAGGCATTCCGACTGATTTTTTTTGGAGAACCAGCTGTCGTTTGTACTATATTTTTGTGTTTTTTACAGCAAATGAAATGCCATAGAAAGAGTATCACAATACATCAAAATACATGTTTATGACATGAGAATATGATTTCTTCTTTTTTTGAAGCTGTAGAGACATAATACAGCTGAAGCTTGCTCTGCTGAAAGATGTTGAGATGCTCTGTGTTTTCCATCTGTTAGAAAAATGCCTGCTTGTAGATTGTCTTTTTAATAAAAGTGTATAGTCTGCCTGAAGAAAAGTGGAAAGGATTGTTCTTGTAGTTAAATCTATAGTGCTTTTGTACAGTGACTGTAAAAGATGGTTTATACTTCTGTATTGAGCGATCACCGTGACCCACGGCACATGCCTTGCACATAGTCGTGCTTTTATACTTCTGCATGTTGTTTGATTTGCTCTGCAATAACACTTCCGAAACGCTAGCTGGCAGTAGGTTATGTTATGTTCCTCTGTATCGGGTTTCTTCACGGGTGTTTTGTTTCTTCTTGATGCTACCTTATTGTACAAGTAGCTAAAACTCGCTCATTCAAAGACAGGAACTGGCGGATGTGCAACTACTCTAATCATAAGATAAACACAAAACATCTAGAGCTCCTTCACAGGGCTCGACACTTGTAAACACTCGCTCCATTGGGTTCGCAACTCTCAGCACCGCCCACACTCATCAGCATGCTATAAAATCTGATAATTGTGGGAAATAATTCCAAAAGGCAACTGACTGCGTAAAGCTACATAAAACAAAACAAAAATACGACGTATATGCCGAGTTCAGCGGCCAATCAGCCAGAATGACATGATGGGGTCCAGCAAGACCAAATTTTTTTTCTATTTTTGCTTTTTCACTGTGCTGTTCTCATGGGAGGTGTCTGTTATTGCACTGATGATATCGACATATAACTTATTATTTGCATACGTCACTTTAATAGCAATAACTGTCTTTTCATAAGCTGCAATATTAATTTCATCTCGGTGAATGCATGCTCTTTAGCGATGGTGAATGCGGTGTCAGTCACACGATTTACAGCATCGTGACGATTAAATGAAGGATTAAATAATGTTAAATCATCTCATGCTTAATGTGTAGATTCAGTGGCAAACACTGTTACCTGAAAACTCCATCCCACTGGCTTTACGATGAGTGCTTTAGTCATTTTCATAGCGGACTTTAACCACTGGAAGTCTTTTATCCACTCTTTGAAAAGTGTAAACGCTGGATTGACATTCATTACATAATCACTGATCAGATGTGGCATTATTTGTAACTTTTAGGTCATTTCTAAAGCTGAATCTGTCAGTGTTGTCATTCACTCATATTCAGACCTTACATTTTCGCAGCTCTAAGCTCCCTGTCATCGGAACTGAGTGATTGACACCTGATATTAACCAATCCATTCGCTTACTGTTCTATCGCAGTGAGCCAATAAGAAGACCTTGAAGGTGGGGCAAGCATTGCGGGCTTTGTTTACTGCAGCAAGTTGAAATGACAACTTTTCAACTTGTTTTCAAAGCATTCCTGAGCACTGCGTTTGGTGTTTTTAGGTGCAAAGATGCGTAATGCGTGAATGCTAATTCTGTGCTAATGCTAATTCAAAATGTGGTGAACATTTTGCTGTGAAAACTGGTCGCACGGCATCAATTTTATGCACTCGCACAAATGCTCCCAAATATATCTTGAGGTCACATAGATAAAATTTCGGGCACATATGCGACTAAAACGGTCGCAATTTTGAGCCCTATATATATATATGAAATATGTATGTTTTAAAATAAAATCCTCCTTTCATGAAATCTGTCACATCATCCTTAAAAAATGATTCGTATTTGATGATTTGGTGCTCAAGAAACTTATTGCACATATACTGGGACTTTGGAAACCACTAAACTTACATGTACAAAGTAACTTTTTACTGATATAATTTGCTATTCCCTGCAGGGAGGAAGAGGAGAGCCTTCGTGACAAGATCCGAGCAGATCATGAGCGGGCGCTGCAGGAAGCCAAGGAAAAGCTCCGCAAATCCAAAGAGGAGCTGAAGGCAGAGATCCAGACAGCGAAGGCCAAGGTATCTGAGGACCTGAAGAAGAAAGACGGGCCCAAACCACTGCCTCCAGTGCCCATGCCCAAACTAGTAGGGGTCAACGATGGTGACCCAGGGGACCCTGACACCAAGGAGAAGAGGGACAAAATCAGAGAGGTGAGTTTACATTCTTTAAAATGTGCATTGTTGTTCAATGTGGGATGTAATTTGAGTACATAGAGTAGCTTCTTCCCCCTAAAAAATGTTTATTTTTGCTCTTGGCATATTACTAAAAAGTAAATTATCTTAAAGTAGATTGATAATACTTTGTGATTGGCAAACATGACTAATGGAACAACATCTTTGATAAAAAACAAATAAAAGTCTTCAAGTCTAAGAAGTGCATTTCAGGTGTGCTTCAGGTTTATTTATACCTGCTCTTAGCTTCTTTTTTCTCCCACACATTGACATTTGTGGACATTCTAATGAGGCATGCAGCACGGGGTTATAGGTGTATATCCTGCCAGGTAGATCAGTATAGGCAAAATTACAGCTCAAATATGCAGTAGATTTATTCATTTAACAAATTGTCCATCCCTAAACATTTTTGTTTCATCATTATTTACTGACAAAAACATCAATACATTTTTGTTGTAGTGTTTGTCTTTGAAAACCATTCAATTTTATAAATTGCTAAAAATTTACTAATTATTCATCAACGAAATAAACACTCCACACACACAAGCGTTTAAACTACAAAAATAATCAGCTTGAATGTGTTTTGTCCTCATCCAGAGGTCATCGAGAGTGGACAAGCTCTAAATTTATCAGACCCTGTTTACACATTTTTGTTTGTGTTGTCCACTATTGATTGCATCTACAGAACACAAACACATCTTAATACCAGGTGTAAACCGTGCAATGCATCTCATAGATCATACTTTTGGTTGGAGTTGAAATCGTTTTTCTTCTCTCTCAGTTAATTACTTCACATTCCTTTTGAAATGAAACCATTTTGGACCCAATCTATTGCATTTTCATTCAGAACGAGCTCTCTCCACAGGTATAATTATCAGCTATCGAAAGCGACTTGGATGAGAGTAAGTCTAAGGGAGTTTTTAGCCACCGGCTGATTTACTGCTTTACTGGAACAGATTGTCCTAAAACACGGTTAAACGTTTCTTCTGCTGATGTAATGTGGATTTTGATATTCTGTCCTCCAGATGTGCTAGAAATTGTCTTACCGTGTTAGATCTGTTCCTAAATGAGGCAGATCGGAAAGCGGCTGTTAGTGTTGTTTGTTAAGGCAAGCATTACTGTTCCAATTATCAGAATCGGGGAGGGTTTGAGATTTCTCCCACTGTTTGTGGTTTAGACACGAGTGGTTTTCAGATATAGTTGACTTTTAATATTGATCATGTTTAATGTGTTTTAGTTGGCGGTGGCATTTATGACCTCTTACATAAAGCTTAACAGCCTGTGGGCTGCAGATGATGAGTCAGCTCTGCTTGGAGTAAATGCCATTATTTTCACTTTTTGTCTCTAATGAGCTTCTGAACCTGGGAATGAGCTTTTTCTTTTGCTTCGTTTTACTTCTTTGAAGTGAATGATTGTTTTGTCCCAACATAAGTGCTTGTGATTGGTAGCGATGCTGGTGTTCCCGGAGTAATTGGTGTTTGTACAGTATGTGTGAAGCTGAGATGATTGTTGCAGTCGAGATTCTTTTTTTTAACTCTGATATAATGTCTTTTGTAATCCTAAGTTGAAAGTCAGTTTAACGCAGCTTTGTAAAACTCAGTTGTGATGTTAATAAAAGCTCCTTGAGTGTCGTTGTAGATCTGATCTTATTGCAGTTCCTGGTGTCCGTGGGGTCTTAATAAGTATTAAAAGTTGTAAAATCTATAATGTCAAAATAAGAGACCTTAAAATGTATTAAAAAGTCTTGATGCCATTTTTATGAGGTCTTAATTTTTGCTTAAACGCTGTCCAAAGTTTTTGACTCCCAAAAAGCATAAATATAATTATTTACCCCCTAATATTAAGTGACGTGCTCTATCCACGTGATTGATTCGGGCCAGGGCACGTCCGGCCAAGCTCCTCTGTCTGGCTGATGTCATGTAATTTGCGACAAACGCGGGACGCTTTCCACATGTAGCGAAACCATAGAAAATGTAAGTTTGCGTATTCCTGGTTGGAGAAAGACTAGTTTAAACAGTGGCTGTAACCTGTCGCTGAAAACAAACGTGTAGCTTATTCTTTTTCTTCCAAGCTTATCTAAGTTCTGTTGCATGGTTGTGCTCCATTGATTTATTTAAATTAAGTTAAAGGTTTGATTCTGACTAGAACTTGAAGTGGTGATAAAGTCTTAAAATATTCTCAGAAGATCTTTAAAAAGATATTCAAATTACGTTTAGGATTCCTGCATATACCCCGTTGAAGCATGTAATCATAGTTATTAGCTAGAGTTAGCATTACTGTACTCTATAGAAAATGCGGGGCTTAACAATTCATTCCTGTTCACCCAACATAAATCAAACTAATTTAAGTTAATACAACAGCATTAACTTCACTAATATAAAAGGATTGAACATAAAACAATTAAGTTGTCCTAAAAATATTAAAAATGAGCTGAAAACACAATTCTTGATAATTAGTTTGAACAAATATTAATTATGATTGTATTCTTTACCAACAGTTGTTTATACTGCACTGTCGTCTTTTAGCATGGATCAGCATGACTGCCTCTGAGTTTTATGTAAATGACTTGGATACATAATTACTCTCACATTAATTAATTATTTTGTTTGTCCAAAAAAGAGAAACAACTTGGGAATCACTATTGAGGGTTTTCTGTCATCAAATCTTTCTACACATTTCCGAAAATCATTCTGATTCTACATAATTAAATCAAAGCTATTTGAACACAGCTCAGATGATATTTATAATTATACTAATTGTAATACTAATGGTGATTTTAGTAGAGTTTTCCTAGTTACTAGTTTTAGTTACTAAGTGTTACAAAGTTTTTGAGTAGATAAAATGTTAATAGTTTAGAGTTATGCTGGCAAACTAAATGTAATTTTTCTTTACACCTTTTATGTTAGATGTTGGCAGTTGAAAGATTGTATTCATTGCGTTTATAGCACTTCAAATTGCTTTTTTGAATCAAAGCAGTTTGAGCTCTTGTTTACATCCTTAATGCCCCATTCACACGGGGCTTCAGCGTCAACGCTTGACAGAGGGCGTGTCTGAAGTCGGGGCTGACGCAATCGTCATAGCAGCATCAGCCAATGAAATTAGTCAGCAATAGGCCACTGTCTGAGCCGGTGTATTTGCATACAGCCATCTGATTGGCTGATGCTTCCATCAGCGCTTGAAAAGTTGAGCAAGTCCCAACTTCTGCAGAGAGCAACGCCTCTGCAGCGCCTACGGATCCACAATGCAGTTCCGCAATGCCTGACGTCACCCATTTAAAGCGAATGGGAAGGGTTGACGCTGACGCCCCGTGTGAATGGGGCGGAACACTTCACTACAATAGTGTCTCATTCAAAATCGTAACAAACTCCAAAAACACCAGCATATTCAATTCAGTATTCAACATAGAATGTCTAGTAAATTGAAACTGAAGTTTAGTTCAGTTCAGTGTGGTTTTATTTTCCCTTCTTAAAGTTCAAACACTGAAGAGAAAATCTATCGATGCACAGCTCCACGAGTACTAAACCAAGCGAGCCAGTGGCGACAGTGGTGGGGAACATTCACCATTTGACAAAATGATGGGAAAAAAAAAACATTGGAATAGCATATTTGAACATTAAGTAATAATACATCAAAAAATTGACCCCATGTTGAAAATATGCACTTAATATTTTAATTTAGTTACAACATTTCCTCTTACAGTCCTGCTCCATGCAGAACATGACTAGAAGTGTGAAAGTGGTGAAACTGTTCTTTTGAAATTAAAACATTTAGCTGAAAAATAAGCGTCATTTAAACATTTTAACACATTTGTGTTTGAATGAGAATCGTTATGTTGCATCAATGTTTTCACTTTTTTTGTCTTCTGAGTTCAGACCTTTTTGTCTGCTGGCAAAGCATAAAAACATGCGTTTCATTGTCTAATTTTCACTCCTCACATCAGTAAACAACACTGCACTCTTGGCATATCTACAGGCGGCAGCTAATGAGCGTGAAGTTTCTTTTCAACATTTAGTGAACACTCTGGGTCACATCAGTTCAGCTTGTTGAAACACACTATATATATAATTTAAACATGTTTATTGAAAGCCCTAGTCTCTTCCTAGAGCTGTGTTTTTTTCCACTTGCTTTTGGATTATTGCAGAAAATAACCACTGTAAACCACAGTTTTACTGTCATTCTTTAAAAAAAAAAACACACAAAAAAACTAAATTTCCTGATCTATAATCCCTATAAATAACTCCTGTACAGCAGTCCCACAACATTCTGAAACTCGAATACACTGTCAGTAATGTCCAGTGGCTGTCAATGTGCTTTTTGCAGTGTCTGCTATAATGTTTAAGTTGTTTTTGTTGTGTTTACATTGATGAATATGGCCACTGTGTAAATACACAGTAAAGTTACGATTAAAATTGCCACACATTAGATCGTTATGATAACATAATACATGCCCTTAGTGATTTCCTAAAGATAAATACCAAAAAATAACACAACTGGAATAACTACAGCAGTCGCCATCGTCTGGTCTGACATGAAGCGAGAGATCGCGAGGACATATGATGAGGTGTGCAGGTGCTATAGTGCTGTCCCAATTCTTAGGGGTACATTTTGAAGCCCTTCCACTTCACCCTCAGTTGTAAGGGCCAAGGGGTAGTGGTATAAAAATAGAATTGGGATTGGGCCGTAATAGTCTTATGCACATCGTTACTAATAATTGTATGACTGATAAAATTGCTTATAATAAACATTAATTCAGGCATTTAACCAAAAGGCCACCTAACTCCCTAAATCTTGTAAATACAGATGTAGTGTAAAACCTCAAAGAATGAATAGCTATAATTAGTTATGAACCAGGGTAATATGTTAACGTTGAGATACAAGAAACTAGACCGCTTGTCCAGGGTTAAGAATGGGTTGTGACAAAATATCCACAATTAGCCGTAATGAGAGGTCTGCAGAGTGATGTGGATGAGGGAATACAG